ATGTGTTTGTACTGCTGGTCGTCGGGGACACATAAGTATAAGATTGCATTGCGAGGGAGGTCTCCACTTGGATTGGAAGCTGGGGTCAAGAGACACGAGTAGTCAGAGTGCATTCACTGTCACAGCTGTGCTTCAACATCGGAGGACCAGCCACAAGACGGTCATCAGCAGGACTTCCGACTGTGTGTGTGTGTGTGTTGCGTTCATGTCATGTTGACTGTCAAGTTCCACAAACACCTGACGTTCACAGGATCCCTGATGGGAGCTGCAACAATGGGGTCGTGACCGTGACCTCCAGCAAAAGTCGGTCGCCTGTTTTTTCTGTCGTGTCGTCGTTTGCGACAGCGCTTGCGGGACCGACAGTCGCAGAAGACGGGGCAGCTTCGGTTTAGATTTGTTTGGAATAAGTTAAGTCAGTCAGTCAAGTCTTAATATACCGACTTAGTCAATGAAACTATGCAACACTTCTCATTGAGTTGCCATTAATGGACACATTCAGAATTCAGCTCTTCAAATGAGAACCTACCATGGCCGGTCCCGTCTTCAGCTCGAATCGACTCGGATCAGAGCAGAAACCGACGGTCGTGCAATGATGGCAAAACAAGTGCAGCTCATGCATCATGGGTGCCACCTCATTTGTTTACAGCAATGATGCATTTTCCCGTGGACAGGCTTTCGGCAACATCTTCATGACCTGCCACATCCCTGGATGCAGTGGGTGTTCCGGTATTTACCTGTCTACTTTTTGCTCCAAGGCGAGAGCTTCACATGGGGCCGGTCAGTGTCCCGCATGAGGCGGATTCGTGAGGTGTAATCATAAATAAATCAGACCGATGGACAGACCACCGACGTGGCAGGCCGGCCCGGCGACGAGTCGGTCGTCCAGCACTAAGTCAACGTTTCATCTGAGGATCACAGAGCCAAGTCAAGATGCATTGTTTGGCACCTTGAGCCAGGCTAGCCGAGGCCATCGGGGGATCTCGTCAAAATGACAAGATCCCCCAATGGCCTCGGCTGAGCGACGGTCTGACACAGTCCAGGAGGACTGCTGGGTTTGATGCTTTGATTCACAAAGGTTCCAGTGCAGTTCACGCTTGTCCTTTTTAGAAATAATAGACAGAGCCCTATAAGTTTACCTATATCCCTTAGTAGGAATTAATTATTCAAGAAGGTCTACTAGCCGGTCTGTTCTGTTTATTCTTTCTGGGGGAAACCATGAACATGGATAATGCTGGTGCAGTTCAGGTGCAGTTGAGGTGCAGTTCAGGTGCAGTTCAGCGTTCGTGCTATTATAGATTGGTGCAGTTCAGGTGCAGTTCAGGTGCAGTTCAGGTGCAGTTCAGGTGTGGTGATGCTGCACAACCATATGTGAGGTATACAAATCATAAAATAGTAAAAGGTATGCTGTATTACACAAAAAAGACACGAATGAACTTACCAGGATCTCTGGTCTGGTCAGAGTAAGACTACTTGGCCGGTCCCTGCCCATAGCATCACACAGTTTTGGCTTAAATACATCGGCTCTAGTGATAGTGACAGTCACTATCTTGCAACATATATATATATATATATATATATATATATATATTTAAGCCAAGGTGCTCCGATTGATCCATAAAGCTTCTCTGCCACATCTTGGCGACACCTGGTCAGGAAGTGTTGCCGGTCGAGCTCCTCGGGTGCTCTGGGAGGCATAGACCTGGATTGAAATTTTCAGTCCAGGTCTATCACCTCCCAGACCACCCAATCTAAATCTTCATGGCTCAGGGTACAGGCCTCAGTGTCGGTCAGCATTCAATAATGCTGGACACTGCTGTAATGATTGACTTAGCAACACCTGGTCAGGAAGTGTTGCCGGTCGAGGAGAGCTATCGACAGGTGTCCTCAACCCTTCGTCGGCACCGCTCAGGCAGTCGAACTACGACTGGCTGAGTGGCGCCGACGAAGGGTTGAGGAGCTCCTTGGATGCTCTGGGAGGTCGGGCTCCTGTAGCAGTAACAGGTCCATGCCAATTTGAGATCCCAGTCACCTTAAGTATTGAGGTCCAGGCAGAAGCAGATCTACTTTCTTTGCCGGTGGTGTTCTCAGACACATGCGTGGGCAGTGTACTTTCGAAAGTGTTATGTGTGTGTTCGCTCAAGGTCTATCACCTCCCAGACCACCCAATGTAAATCTTCATGGCTCAGGGTACAGGCCTCAGTGTCGATCAGCATTCAATAATGCTGGACACTGCTGTAATGATTGACTTAGCAACACCTGGTCAGGAAGTGTTGCCGGTCGAGGAGAGCTACCGACAGGTGTCCTCAACCCTTCGTCGGCACCGCTCAGCCAGTCGAACTACGACTGGCTGAGTGGCGCCGACGAAGGGTTGAGGAGCTCCTTGGATGCTCTGGGAGGTCGGGCTCCTGTAGCAGTAACAGGTCCATGCCAATTTGAGATCCCAGTCACCTTAAGTATTGAGGTCCAGACAGAAGCAGATCTACTTTCCTTGCCGGTGGTGTTCTCAGACACATGCGTGGGCAGCGTGCTTTGGATACTGTAACTAGCTATGACTTCATGATTCATATTTGCCAAGGTCGGTCGCCTACCATCACCATCTGGTCAGACACCATAGAACTGGACTCCAGCTCTATGATGTCTGATCAGCGGGTGCCGGTTGGCCTGGTCCTCATTGGTTACCTGCAGTTGTTGGGCACAGTCACAGTCGGTCTATGTCTATGATGCCTGCCATGCCACAAAGCAATTTCAGCTTCACGAGACTTGCCGGCCCCACTCCCCGTCGCTATGGCCAAGACAGGTTATGTCGGACTGTCGGTCGACCAGTGGGAGCACTGGCTCTGGAACCCAGTTCCCGACGTCCAGGCCTATTTCTCCCCGTCGGTCGCTGTGTATAAGGCTATCGCTGGTGTCGGTCGCAGGTGCCTTGCTGCTGTGTTTCAGTTCATTTATCATGACCAGCGAGGATGCAGTAGTGTAGGTCGTCCTTAGTTCTGAACTGCCCGGTCGGTCAGGATGCAATACCAGCTTTCCGACACGGATCCCATTCCGGGGCCGATGTACCAACGGTCGAAGCACAAGGAGCAGGCCCATCGTGTTTCGGCTGGGGGCACAATCATGTGTGTTACTGATAACGCCGGTCGGGAAGATGAGGTCAAACTTCTGTTGACCCGGTTCGTGGTCGTGCTGGAAGTGCAGGTCGATGAGTTCCAACTGGCTATGGAACAAGGGTCGGTCAGACCATGCACCAACGACGGCTTCGTCGTGAGGAACCTCGACTTGTCGGTCGAGAAGCACCTCAAAGTCACACGCATGGACGCCCGCCTCGAGGTGGAGGCGTTGCCAAGTGACGTGCCGGTCGACAAGCCTGCTTTCGTGTTCTACAAGATCTCCGATGATGTGACGGAGCTGTCGGTCGTGAAGAAGCTGCTGGCCAACAGCATGAACAAGCCCCGAGGGCAAAAGCGGCCTTCCTCCACAGTCGGTCGGGGTGGCACTGGATATATGTATTTCAGTAACCCGACGAAGGCTGCGCTGATGTGTTGGCTGGCAGGTGGCGGCACGGCGGTCGATGTGCGGCTGAGCTACTATGGAGTGGGCATGCTTCCAGCTGGACTCCTTCACTATGATGAAAGCATGTCGCCGGTCTGTGTGCTTTGGTGGCATTCGATTCAGTGATGTTGCAGTTGCATGATTTCTAATCCTGCAGTTGCAATCTACAGCATAAGCTGTCTGCTCAGGACTACTACTACGCGCCGACGCTTCCCCAGATGGGCGTTGAGTCGGTCGCCGCGGACTACAAGGTCATGGTTCAGTTCAGCAACAAGGTGCCGGTCGGTGACTTCGTGAAGTTAAAGAACCTCGAGACGCTGAAGGAATACATGTACCAGAACGATAAAGAGTTGGAGGAGCTGAACAGTCGGTCGTCAACTCTGCTCGCGATACAGAAGAAGCTGGTCGCAGAAATGGATGAGATGCTCGCCAAAGAGTCGGTCGTGGATCTGGCGGGCAAGACAACGGTGTCGGTCGAGGATCTGGCGGGCAAGACAAAGCAGCCACTCGTCATGGAGTCGGTCGAGGAAGATGTTGCAGGCAAGACAAAGCAGCCGCTCGTCATGGACCAGGTCGCTGAGTCTAGCTGATGTCCACCACGCCGGTCGAGTCAAAGGCCTTTTTCCTCACTCTAGCAGGCAGGCTGGCCCTGGCAGTTGTCGGTCAAATAATGACAGACCATCATGATCATGACGATAGTGTTTTCTGAATGCCAGATGCAGCCTGTCCTGCCAGCTGTCGGCCATGCCATGTGTGCATAGAGCCACAGTCGTCTGTCGGTTTCAGCAGCCAGCGAGACATGTGTTTAAAATGTGAAGCACGTGAGAGGGCATGCCAGTCGACTTAGTGTTCGAGATTGAGTGCAGCATACCTGACTTTGTTTGTTACCTGTTGGTTCTGTCATGTAGTCAAGTTGTTGACTTGGTAGCACAATGCATGCCAGTCTGGCGGTCCATGGTGCATTCCAGCGCATGGCACATGCTTTGGAATCCACTCTGGGCTGCATTTGGTTCGGAACCCCCAGGATCGGTTGCTAAGGCTTGTAGCCCCAAGTTACCAGTTCAGACATCGGTCGACAGCCCGAGCCAGAGATGACCTCCAAGGTTGAATACATGCCTTCACTAAGTTGAACCCAAAGGATGCTTTGCTAAGGCTTGTGGTCCTATCTTGGGGGTTAAAGTCGGTCTAGTGCTGCATCGTCCTAGGTCGGTCCCACTCTGACACATATGTTGCAGCACCTTAGCCGGTCGTGCATGCTCTTCCAGTTGAACCAGCAGAATAGGTTGCTAAGCCTTGTGGGCCTATCTTGTGGGTTCAACATCGGCAGGCCGGTCGATGATCTTGGAAGCACATCTCTGAGTGTCGGTCGTGCCGTTGCCTACCTGGAGTTTGGGCTTACAAGCCTTAGCAACCGATCCTCGGGGTTCCGAACCAAGTCGGCCGGTCGAGCCATGTCCAAGAAAGCAGGCACTCCTGCTTACGCGCCGGTCTACGTGGAGAGCAAGCTCTTAAAGCTTGACGACGTGTCGGTCGCCCATGATTCCGGCCATCGGGACGTCGATGAGGATCGTGTCCTGGAGTTGTATGAGAAGGTGATTTTGGCCGGTCGTTGGGGCCAGGCTTCGTTGTCCCGACCGAAGCTGAGGCCAGTCGAAAAGTTTATTTTCTCGTGCTTGGTAGTTCACTCTTGGGTTTCGCAGGTATGATCCTGCTGGTCGTCCTATGGCCGCATCTGATGGCCGGTCGAAGCTGGCAGATGGCAAGCACTGTATCGCAGCGTTGAAGATACTTGACGACGTGTAGTTTGTCGGTCCAATTCCACGTTCTGGTGTGCACTGGTTTGTCAGCTGGTCAGAAAAGAGTCGGTCGAAGTCCACGGTTTTCATTTCCCTTAATTTTAAATTACTTTCTGACCGAGGAAAGCTGCTGAGACGGTCGCTCAGTCCGATGATGCAACGCAGCTCGAGTGGTACACAGGTGAGATCAAGGACATTCTGACGGTCGGAATGCGTTTTGATTGCATCAAATTCTTGGATGATGATGAGGCCAGGGATGTGCAGTATGACTAGACACTCATGACGGTCACTAGTTACTCCTGTGTCAGGCGGCGGTCAAGCTCTTCTACACCATGGCCCATGAGCAGGAGGCCAACAAGTTGCGGACGACGTCGGTCGAGCACAAGATCAAACTTGTGCGTGCTTATGTCGCCAAAGTTCCTGGCGGTCTGATAAAGGACAGTCGGTCGACCACCTGTTTTTGTTGCTGGCCCTGAGTCTCATCTGTCAGGACGCCGAGAACGCCATGGTGGAAATTTTGGGCAAGTCACGCCGGTCAACAATCCACAACTGGTGCAAAGCGACTGCAGTGTTAAAAGAGCCGGTCCTGATCAAGCTGAAGGAGAAGCCCGACCTGCCACAGGGACTTGTTTTCACGAACAAGTACTTCGTCGGTCAAGGAGAAGAGACACGTAACTCGGCGGCATGCCATGCTGTTAGGTTTTCCTGCATTGTTGGTCGCGGAATGCAGTTGGCTCAGGCTTCCTCCTGGAACCCGAGCAGCAGATTGCTGCTCTGCAGCTTTTCTATGACTTCTGTGACGGTCGCGGGACGGTCTCTTCCATACCGACCTTCATGTCTGACTTTTGTGCCCCAATGTTGAAGGCACAGTTGTGGTGTCAGTTGGTCATGAAGAAGTACTCGTCGGTCGTGAGCCGCCTACCAGCGTATGACCGCTGTCAGAAGATGCTGTGGAGTGAGCGTGGACGGTCGCGCATTTTGAGGCTTGCTAGCACTATGAACTATGACTGACATTCAGTGCCATGTCTCATTATTTTGGTGATGGGGTTGCCAAGGACGTGCATGCGTCTTGGCGTCGGTCTGTCTGGTGACCCGAAGATCGAGGGCAGTGGCATCCCTGAGTGTGTGTCGGTCCTCCAAGGGTTGAAGAATCTGGCCGCTGGTCGTGCAGTGGATGAAGCCGAAAGTGCTGTGGATGCGGCCAAAGCAACGGTCACAGAGCACAAGCTGGTCGTTGAGGGGGGAGACGACGAGTCTGGGATCTTGGCTGACGACAGCACGATGGAGGCCCCACTGGTGGAGAAGGATCCTGTTCTTGAAAAAGCTGAGGAGCTCGGCTTGTCGGTCCGCTCCAACATTCATCTGTTTCATGACATGAAGACCTTTGGTGATGGCTTCGTCGGTCTATGCCGGGCGACGACCCGTGGCGGCATTTACATCGATGAGGCCACGTCGAAGGCCAAGATCATTTTGGGGGACATGGCAGAGTTGTGGAAGGTCGTCACGTCGGTCGTAGATCGGCAATACGTGTCCATGGGCATCTTCTGTGGAAAGCGCCACGACTTAGTGACGTTGGTCGTGAACCTTGGATGGCACAGAGTTCTTTCTAGACTTGTCGGTCGACTGCTGTGCTCAGCTTTGCTTCGGCTCAAGTCCAAAACGGCCGGTCGACCTTCATGGGTCGAATCAGTAACAAAAGCCTCGGGCTGAAGAGGGTGGCAGGGCCCTATGCCCGTTACTGTGCGACGGTCGCCAGGACAGGGACGGTCGACCCTCCATTGAAGCGCCTTCGAGTCAAAACCTTCTTGAAAAACTTAGATCAGAGCCGGTCGCGATGGAAGCAGATGTCAAAAAAGGAGAAACAACCCTTTGTGG